GGATTTTGGCTTTAGGACTTCTTGTAGTATTTTTTGTAGTGGGAGTTTAGTAGTAATGAATTTCTGGAGAAACTATTTGTCTGAGAAGGCCCTTATTTTTTCTTCATAGAGGAAGGAGAGCTTTGCGTGGTAAAGTATTCTTGGATGGTATTTGCTGACTTGGAGTTTGTTGAATGTGTCACTACAGTGTCCTCTTACCTGTAGTGTTTCTTCAGAGATTTCTGATGTCAGCCTGATTGGTTTTCCTTTATATGTTACCGGTTTCTTCCCCCTTGTCAGCTTCATTATTTTTTTCCTTGTCTTGCACTCTTGCCAGCTTTCTATCATGTGCCTTGCTGTAGTTTTTATTTCATTTTGGTAATTTTGTGTTCTTGCTTCTTGTATGTCTATTTTCATCTCCTTCTTCATCCTAGGGATGTTCTATTCAATTATATCCTTGAATAGTTTCAGGTGCCTTGGTCTCTCTCTTCACCTTCTGGGATATCTATAGTACTTATATTTCCTTTCCTCATGGTGTCAGATAGTTCTTGAAGTGTTTCTTCTTTCTTTTTCCTTTGTACTTCTCTTTCTTTTTCTTTTTTAGTTCTGTATCTTCAAGAGTACTGATCTGTTCTTCCATTTTATCAATTCTGGTTTTGTTGCTTTTCTCAGAGTTCTTTAGCTCCTCCACTAATTTTTTAATCTCTTGAGCTTCCTTCATTTCCCTCTTGAAGGCCTCAATTTCATTCTTCAATTCATTTAATATATTTCTCATATCATTCTTTTCCTTTTCATCTTTTTTATGTTTTTAAATCATGGCAATTTTAAATTCTCTATCTGGCAAGCAGGCAAGTTCTTCCATGTCATTGTTGTTGAGTTATGGTGGCTGATTTTCTTGCTGTGCTGTGTCTTTCCCCTGAGGGCTTGCTTGGTTATTTGTATTTTCCCTTCTCCCTGTTGTTTGTTTTCTAATTTGTTCTATGCATGGGGACACTGTGCCACTGATTCCTGTAGGTGTCGTTTTTGGGTGCTCCTTCTAGGATTTGGGAACTTGTGGCCAGACCGAGTCCAGCACTGGTACAGCAGACTCCACAAGGGTAGTGATGTTGTGGATATGTTGATGAGCACTGAACATCCCCTTCCTCTGTATTTACTCAGTTCTAGAAGGGATCTTGGGGGTCCCGGGCTTCCAACACTAGCGCAGGGGCTGCACTTTCCAAGTACCCACAGTTGACCATAATGGCGGATCTCTCCAGTCTACTCAGTCCAAAACACTATGTGGGGCTTGCAGCAGCCTTGCTCAGCATGCACAGCATCCTTCTCACCTTTGTTTGTTGATCCCACCCTCTCTCAACTCAAGGGGAATCATGAGGTCCCTGACTTCCAACAACAATGGTTCCGGGGCTACACTCTACCAGTCTTACACTGTTTACATTTAAAATTTTGTTCACTGGCGGGCCTCCCCGGTGGCGCAGCGGTTGAGCGCTGGATTGCAAAGCTGCCCCCAGCCTCTGCAGCGCCAGTTCAATCCCCGGCTGCTCCCTGGCCACCTGAGGAGGGTCCCACGTGGTGCGCAGACCTCTCCTGCCACCCGCTGCTCCCCTCAGCAGTGTACTTCGTCTTTCTGCCTGCTCTGCTCCCCGCTCTGGCTCTGTGAATTCTCTCACCCTCCCACGCTTCTGACTGTACCCAGTACTTGTATAAATAAATAAAAAAATTAAAAAAAAAAAAAAAGAATAAAATTTTGTTCACTAGTTGTTCTATTTGTGTTTTCTGTGATGTTATCCTTTTTTAGTTCATTCATTTTCTCCATTACTTGTGTTTGCCTGTTATTTTAGCCCTGTATTTTTTAATTTGTTGTTATTTTTTTAATCCTGCTTCAAACTGTAATAGTATCATATTTACTCAGTCTTTATTCTGTTCCTGATTTACATCATGCATTTTTTTGTTTAAGTTCAGTGGTGGTGTTACAACTGTTCACTTGAGCTCCTCTTCAGGCAGATGCCGCAGTTCTGCTGGACTGAGGCTTCTCTCAGGGTTTTGGTTGTTGCTTGAGCCAGCATTTGTGATTTGTTCTTCTGTTTCTTCATTGTAGTGTTTATAGCAGGTACCAGGACTAAACTGCAGACTGCCCCCTTTGTACTGTTTGGGTGACTGGAGAGCTGTCACTGACAAGGAGTATTAGTGGAAAGGACCCAGGGCAGGAAGCCTGAAGAATCAGCTCCAGTGAGAGTCAGGGACTCAAGCTTCCTCCTGTGCTGTAGGTACCAGAGATGTGGGGAGGGGTGAACAGTAATCCCTGCCTCTAGGTCAACTCCTCACCCTCAACCCCTATGCTAAGTGTGAGAACTTAATTCAACACTGGACACAAACTGAGCTCTCTGTTGCACAGCTTTCTCCCGGGTTGCTTTCTGCTGGGGTTAAAATCCATTGATATTAACCAGCTAGTGGCTGTATTTAGTTGTGTTTTGACCCTGTTTGGGGCAGCTGGGAGGGGGTGTGGAGAGTGGGGGTATGGGAGGGTGGGGAGTTGGTGGGCAGGGGGAGTAAGGAGGTTGAGTGATGGCTGTTGTTTAGAATATCACAACCTCTCACTACAAATAACAGTTTCTTCTAGGAGAGACAAGTGAATCCACCTGGCACTTCTCTCCAGTTTGGGCTCCAGCTGTTCTCTATTGGGAGCATCAGTGTCATCAGTCATCACTCTGCCCCTGCCCCTGTGGTTCTTCAACAGCGCATCCCTGTCCTGGAGGCCAACTCTGGGCACCCCTCCAAAGTCCCCAGTACTGGATCTCCACAGTCCCCACTTGGTTTAGCCCCTGTGGAAGGTCTCTGTGGAGACCTGTTAAGCCCTGTGGAGGGTCCCCCTCATGAGTTGTATCTCCTGTATCACTGCACACGCAGTTCAATTAAATATTTCCCCATCCCGTTTTGCTGGATTTTGGCTCCTTGCATGCTGCAGATGTTGTTTCTCTTTCAGCGGTTATGATTTTGTTCTGCTGCAATTTAGTATGAGTTTAAGAAGGAGATGAGCCCCGTATCTTCACTGTGCTGCCAACTTCCCAGACTCTTCTTGTCAAATCATTTATAACACATTCTGAGATAAGCTTGAGGTTTTTGTTTTTATTACATTGGTTTGGTGTATTACAGTAATTGAATTGGATGTTAACACAGGCTTGATTGATTGAAATAAATACTACTTATTTATTCCACATAATTCCTTTTATATGTTCCTGGACTGGATTTACTATATTTTGTTGATTATTTCTTGAGTTTATATCCATAAGAGATATTGGCCTGCAGTTTTCTTTTCTTGTGACGTCTTGATCTGTTCTGGTACCTGCACAATATTCACCCCATATAATGAATTGGGTAGTTTTACCACCACTGCACTTTGGAAATATTTGGAAATTGGGCCAGAGCTTTATATGTGGGTAGTTTTTAATAACTGATTCAATCTTGTAATTATTATAGGTATGTTTAGATTCCCTGTTTCATATTGAACTATTTTAGTAGTTGATATTTTCTATGAATCTGTCTTTTATCTAAGTTCTCTAATACTTGGCATTCTTTCATAATTCTCTTTGTTTTTGTGTGGTCACATAAAGTCCCTCTTTCACTACATACATGAAAAGTTTGATTCTTTTTTTTCTTTTTTTAGTGTGTCTACTTGAAAATGTGTCAGTTGCATTGACCTTTCAAAAAACCACCTTTGACTTAGTTATTTTAATGTATTGTGTCTCTTTTCTCTACTTCATTCATTTCTGACTTATTTAATTTTTTCCTTCCTTTGCTTGTTCTGGGTTCAGCTTTCTCCTCTTTTTCCTTTGTTTAAAGAGGATCTTTTGGTAATTAATTATAGAATTTTCTTTATTAATTTAGTCACCTGGAGCTATAAATTTCCCTCTACAGACTTTAATACATCCAATAAATTTTGACATCATGTTTCTTCATTATCATTATTCTGAAAGTATTTTTTAATTTCCATTTTGATTTCTTTTTGATCTTTTGGTTATGTAGAAGTGCATTTCCACATATATGTGAGTTTCCCATATTTCTTTTAGCTGTTGCATTTCCTGCCCTGTGCATGAACATGTGTTATATTATTTATGTTCTTTTAAATTTATTAGGTTTGGGAGAATGATGTCAACAACATGGTGGAAAAGAGCCAAGAATACTTTATCCTGCAGAGCTCTCCTTCCTTTATGAGGGAAAAATAAGGACTTTCTTATAAAACACAATCTTAGAAATTTACTATGATTAAACCCCCACTCCAAGAAATATTACAAGGAGCCTTAAAATCTAAACCAACAGAGAAATGAACAGGAAGAACTGAACAAGGTAATGAAGAAAATCATGAAAAAATCTCCAAATGGCAACAACAGACTCCATGTATCTAAGTGTTAATGGACTAAACTCACCAGTAGCATGCTGGATTCAAACATAGAATCCAAATTCCTGTTGCTTCCGGGAAACACATTTAAGTTCTAAAATTAAGCATAGATTGAAAGTAAAGTGTTGGAAAACAATTCTACAAACAAACAAACACCCCAGAAGAAGGCGGGGGTAGCCACTCTTCTAGCAGATAAAACAGACTTCACACTAAAAAGGGTGACAAGAGACACCAAAGGACACTACATAATAATCAAGGTGACAATACACCAGAAAGTCATAACACTCATCAGTATATACTCATCCAATAAGGGAGCTCCAAAATACATTAGACAATTACTATCAGCTCTGGAAACACATGTGGTAGGAGACTTCAATACTGCACTCTCACCACAGGACAGAGCAACAAGACAGAAAATAAGCAAGGGCACAATAGCCCTAAATGAAAATCTAGACCACATGGAACTAATAAACATCTATAGGACACTGTTACCCCCCCCAAAAAGAAAACCTAAATATACATTTTATCAAGTACCAGTGGATCATTCTCCAGGATGAACCATGCCCAGGGGTCACAACAAAAACATCAAAAATAAATGAGGACTGAAATCATACCAAGTCTCTCTCAGATGAAAAAGGCATGAAGGAGGAAGAGACTCAGAACCAAAGGAACAATGCTCAGTGGTTCAAAGTGCTTGTGAAGGACCTGCGCAGCCGCTACAACCAGAGCGAGGACGGTGAGCTTCGAGGAGTGGTGCCAGGGTCAGGTCACCTCCCCATTCCCAACCTAAGGCCGGGGTATCCCGAGTCTCAGGGTCCACTGACCCCTTGAGGCTGGTGGATCTGCCAGGACCCTCCACCCGCAAGGGACTCTCCCGCCTGCCCTTTCATTTTCAGTTTAGGTTTATTCAGGGTGAGAGGGCGGGGTGATTTCGTAGTGACCTCTGGGCGGACCGCAGGGCAGGGCTCAGGGTCTTACACCCTCCAGAAAATGTGTGGCTGTGAAGTGGGGCATCACGGGAACCTCCTTGGCTGTTATGAAAAGTTCGCCTACGACGGCGCGGATTCCATCTCCCTGAGCGAGGACCTGCGCTCCTGGACCCCGCGGACTCGGGGGCTCAGATCACCCAGCGCGCGTGGGAGGCGGCGGGCAGGGCCGAGCGCGTCAGGCACAGTGTGCAGAGCAGGTGCTTCCCGCGGCTCCGCAGACTCCTGGAGACGGGGAAGGAGGTGCTGCAGCGCACAGGTAAGAGGGGCCACGAGGCCTCAGACCTCCCCTCTCCTGGCGCCCCACAGGGAACATGGAATCATGGGCAGAACAGCAGCTGCTTTCTGGGCAGAGAGGGAGAGTCCCCCTGGGTTTCATGTTCTGTGCTAGAGAGAGACTCGCCCAGAAGACACCACTTTTCTGGACATTTAAGGAATCCAGTTTCTCCTGAGGGAGGGGAGGCCAATCCGGAAATAACTCTTCCTGGGTCTTTTGACCCGGCAGCCATCCTGGGAACCATGAGTTTCTCTTTCAAGGTCTTGTTTTTGGTCTGAGAACATTTCTGGATCTGACTCCTGCCTTTCTGTGTCATTCACCCTCCACCCAGGTCAGGAGCAAAAGTCTGTGTTCTCAGAGACCTGCATCCTCCTACCCTGGACTCTCACCTGATTATCCCAGATTCTCCAGACCAGGCTGGTTTCTGGGTTTTGTGCTTCCTCCCTCCAAACCTATTGTCATGTCCATTCTGAGGATGGTCAGTGAGCCTGCTTCAGTGTCAATGGAGGAAACCCGAAGTGTGATACTTATGATTTGTTCCCCTTCAGATACCCCAAAGACACTCATGACCCACCACCCCACCTCTGAGCATAAGGTCACCCTGAGGTGCTGGGCCCTGGGCTTCTACCCTGCGGACATCACCCTGACCTGGCAGGGAGATGGGGAGGACCTGACCCAGGACACGTTGCTGGTGGACACTAGGCGTGGAGGGGACAGAACCTTCCAGAAGTGGGCGGTATGGTGGTGCCTTCTGGAGAGGAGTAGAGATACACGTGCCATGTGCAGCATGAGGGGCTACTGGAGCCCTGAGTCCTGAGATGGGGTAATGAGGAGGATGTGGGCACTGAGCTTCTTCACAGGGGAATCAAGAGCCCTTCTGGAGAACTTCAAAGAGTCAGGATGAAGCCTGGAGCTCAGGGTCTCCCCTTCCCTTCCCTTCCAGTGCCCCCTCCTCAGTCCTCCATCCCCACCGCGGGCATCATTGCTGGCCTGGTTCTCCTTGGAGCTGTGCTCACTGGAGCTGCGGTGGCTGCAGCTGTGATGTGGAGGAAGAAGCACTTAGGTAGGGAAGGGAGTGGGGGATCTTGTCCACTGGGGGCTTTGGTATCCCAGGGAGAACTTGCCCTTCCTGGATAGTAGGAAGTGTTTAATCCACACATTTGTGTTGCCCAGTCTGGAGCTGATTGCTAACACTCACTCTTTTGTAAAGCACTTATGAAAATGAATCACCCATTGTTCATGTTGTAATTCTGATGATGGGGATCTGTTTTCCAGAAAATGTCATAGGGGATGGACCCTGCTGAGGACAGACTCCAGTTCCCTTTACATCCATTGTTCATATATCCCAGTCCTGATCTGGGTCTACAGTCACAGTTCTAGAAACTTCCCTGTGGCCCTGAACTAGGGGATTCCTTTAGGATTCCATGGGCTGACTCCTCACTTGTCTCACATCTTATTTCTTCCCACAGGAGGACAAGGAAGGAGCTACATTCAGGGTGCGGGTAAGTTTGGATCAGGGGTTGGATCCCTGAGCCCCTGAGGACAGCATAGAGGGAACTGTAGGGAGAGTCACCCTAATCAGTTCCTATGAGGGTCTCATCTCTGGGCTCTGACCAGGTTTTCTTTTGTTCTTCCTCCGACAGCGATGTGCCCAGGGCTGCTTTGTGTCTCTCAGCTCCTTGAGGTGAGACCCTGGAGGCCTGCAGTGGAAGGGGCTGGGGCAGAGAGGATGGGACCGGGTTATGGAGAAGCTGTGGGTGGGACATTCTGAGGATGCAGTGGCCTATGGAGAAGGTCAACACTTAGGGTCATTCACTTGAATTTCTTCAATATTATTTTCCTTCATAGAGTGAGAGAGCTACTTTGTGTGGGACTGAGTGTTATAGGATTTCTCTCACCCCCATTTTGTAACTTCAGGATCTTCTGGTTTATTTAATTTTATTTATTTTCTAGATATACAATCAATGCTACAAACTTTATTGACTTTGGTTGAGCAGAGAATGGTTTTCAGGAAAGTCAGGGAGGAGGCTCATCATCTCTACCAACAGAATCCCCAGAACAGGAGGTGGCTGCCCCAGTCAGTGGTATATCCCAACTGGGACCCCAGCAGTGAGGGAATATATATGTTGGAGCTGTAAAAAAAGTATCTACTGGTAGGACTGCAGCAGGGAATTCCTAAAGAAATTTCAATACAATTCTACAGTTTGAACAGAGGGCTAATGAGGATCCATCAGAGTTCCCTGAACCAATTATGCAAACATATAAATCCAGATGCCCCAGAAAATGCCCATCTGATCACTATGGCATGCATTACTCTTAGTGCCCCAGACATAGGGAGAAAGTTAACAAAGGTGGATGGCATCACAGAGATGAGTGTGTCCCAGATAGCAGACTTGGCATTTAGGGTTTATAATTACATAGATGACAGGAGACTAAATCCTGTGACTGTTTTTGTACAGAGGGAGCATAGGACAGGGCTTCAGGGAAACAGTAACAGAAAGAGACATGAACCCAGGAGAAGCGAACCCTTAGGGAGTGATCAGTGTGCTTATGCAGGGAAGAGGGACATTGGAAGTACAGTTGTCCCAGGTCACAGGTAAATAGGCGGGAAAACAATGACAGAAGGCAGGAAAGAAGGCAACGACACCATGACATGATGATTCACGCAGGGGTTACTGGACGGAATATAGATGGAGTACAAGGGACCTGGAACCAAGGAGAGAGGAAAGGAGAGAAATGATAGCACAGAGCAGAGGCTCAGATGAGGATAGGAGGGAATACGGACAGAGAAGATGAAATCAAGAGTCAAGTACATAGGAAAGGAGAAATAATGATAGTACAGACAGACTGTTCAGATGAAGAATAGGGGGGCCGAGGGGCTCCACTAGATCTAAAAAAGACCATTAGAAAACCCCCTCAGAACCCTGGGTAGCACCCACTGTGGGGGACCATTTGATTGATGTCTTGGTGGACACTGGAGGGACATACTCCGTTTTGACTAAAGAGCAAAGAGACCGCAGTAGTCACTGGGATCACAGGAAGGCCACAACAGAAAGCCTTCTTACAACCTCTGGAGTGCCGGCTGGGCACCACACAGCTCCAGCACAGCTTCCTGTACATGGAAGAGTGTCCAATCCCTCTACTTGGTTGTGTCCTTTTAAGCAAGCTAAAGGTACAAATTACGTTCTTACCCCAAAATCAGAGGATTCACCTACATGTACCTTCAGAACATGCTCTGCAGTTCCAGATATTACTTACTCAGAATGTTCCACCAAAAGATGAAGTTTTACCTTCAGAAATCATTAAAAGAGTAAGTAAATGCATATAAGGTGATGGGACCCCAGTATGTGTGAAAAAAGCAGAACCTGTAAAGATAGAGGTGATAGAGAGGAGCAAAACCCCAAGGAGGAAGCAATAACCCCTAAAAGAGGAGGCCTTGAGGGGAATTGAGCCAGTATAAAAAGTCCCTTTGATCTGGACTCATTCGGCCCTGACGCTCACCATACAACACTCCCAATTTTGCCAGTAAAAAACCCCATACAGGTGAGTACCATTTTGTTCTAGATTTAAGGGCTATTAATGAAATTGTCCAAGACATGCATCCAATTGTGCCTAATCCCTACACCTTATTAACTGCCATACCTGGTGACTTTGGGTGGTTTTCCATATTAGACATTAGGGATGCCTTTTTCTGTATCCCAATAGATGTCCAGGATCAACTGCTTCTTGCCTTTGAATGGCAACACCCTAAGTCCAAGAGCACTCTCCAGTATTGCTGGACTGTGCTTCCAGAAGGCTTTAAGAACTCCCCAACTATTTTTGGGGAAATGCTAGCCAGGGATCTCAGGAAGATTCAGTTAAACTAGGGCATCTTATTACAGTATGCAGACAATTTATTGATTGCAAGTATAGGCTATGAATCTTGCCTGGAAAATACCATAGTGGTACTGAACCACCTGGCAGAATGTGGCTACAAGGTGTCACCTCAAAAAGCACAGATATGTAAACAAACGGCAACATATTTGGGATTTGAGATTAAGAAAGGCAAACAAAGCCTGATGACAGAAAGGAAACAGGTAATTTCAGCCCTTAAAATCCCCAGCAACCGAAAGCAATTGCGCATATTTTTGGGAATGACTGGATTTTGCAGGATTTGGATTCCTAACTTTGGATTAATAGCATAACCCTTATATGGTGCTCTCAAAGGCCTGGACTCTGAAGCTTTGTCTTGGACTCCAAAATGTCAAAAAGCCTTTGATGAAATAAAGGGAAAGTTGATCTCGGCACAGAATTAGGGCTGCCAGATCTCAGGAAGCCATTGAGAATTTGCATGAGAGACAGGGGGTTGGCCTAGGAGTGCTAATCCAATTGTTAGGACCAGAAATGCAACCTGTTGCATTAAGGAATGGCCTCTATGTTTGTGTGCTGTAGCTGCCACTTGTGATCTACACGAGACTGAGAAGTTTACCTTGGGTCAGCCCATTACTGTGTGTGCCACATCAGGTCTTGACATTGCTGGAGCAGAAGGGTGGACTCTGGTTGACTGCTGGGCAAATTGGAAAATACCA